CGGTTTACACCAAGTAAAGAAACAATAATTCCCGTGATTGATTTTTCTAGGGTTTGTCAGATTTGGTGCAAATTGGACCTTTTTCGCAGGGTAAATTGAAGTATTGTTTGTAAGATTCTTCGACTACGAGGACGATGATGATAAGGATTTATTATTTCATCGATCGTCGTTGATCGTTGATTCCGAAAGGTGGGTTTGGGGTTTTGTATGGAAACTCGTAGCCGGAAGAGGGCGGAGGCCACCTCATCAGCCCCTTCTTCTTCATCGTCCGGCGGTCCTGCCACTCGTTCCAACAAACGCACTCGTCTCTCTTCCACTACATCCCCCGCCGCCGCTGCTACACCTTCCAACGTCGTTGCGCAATCCGTTTGTACTCGCTCACGCGCTTCTAACATGGATACTAACATTAATGAACCGTCAGGCTCTGGGTCAGCCCGCGGCCGTCGTAGTGGAAAGAACATAAATAATCCGAATGCGGGACTGGATAAGGATAATTTGGATAAAGGCAAAGAGAAAGAGAATGAAATTAGGGTTAGGGATAGAGATAGAGATAACAACAGAGACAACATTTTAGGATTTAATAAAGACCGCGGGGGAGTTGATGATGAAGATGACGACGACGATGACAATGACAATGACAGTGATGGTGGCGGCGTGGGGATTTTACATCAGAATTTGACTTCTGCTAGTAGTGCACTTCAAGGCTTATTGAGGAAACTGGGTGCAGGGTTAGATGATCTGCTTCCGTCATCAGCAATGGCATCCGCTTCATCATCTCACCAGAGTGGACGACTAAAGAAAATTCTTTCAGGCTTGCGTGCTGATGGGGAAGAAGGAAAGCAAGTTGAGGCTCTGACACAGTTATGTGACATGCTTTCTATTGGCACTGAGGATTCTCTAAGCACTTTCTCCGTGGATTCTTTTGTGCCTGTTCTTGTTGGGTTGCTTAACCATGAAAGCAATCCCGATATCATGTTGCTTGCAGCTAGGGCACTCACACATCTATGTGATGTGCTACCTTCTTCATGCCCAGCAGTTGTGCATTATGGTGCTGTTTCTTGCTTTGTTGCTAGATTGCTTACAATCGAGTACATGGACTTGGCTGAACAGGTGTGCAATCTTACTTCCTAAATGTTTATATCACTTCACTTGTGGATTTAAACTAATCCTGTGTTCAATGGAATTGTTTTCACAACAGTCCTTGCAAGCTCTTAAGAAGATCTCCCAGGAGCATCCAACTGCATGCTTGAGGGCAGGTGCACTAATGGCAGTACTGTCGTATCTTGACTTCTTCTCTACAGGAGTCCAGGTATGTTGCTTAATCATGATATAGTTTTAAGTTTTAAGCATATATATATATAATATTATCCCTTTTTCCATAATCTCATTTTATCTTTCAGCGAGTAGCACTTTCTACTGCTGCAAATATCTGCAAGAAACTTCCATCTGATGCAGCTGATTTTGTCATGGAAGCCGTTCCTCTATTGACAAACCTTCTTCAGTATCATGATGCAAAGGTGAGTTGTTTGATTCCAAGAATAAAAAATTTATTAACTTTTTTATGTTTCTGATTGTTTTTTGAAACAATACTCTCTTTGTAGGTTTTGGAGCATGCATCCGTTTGTTTGACTCGAATTGTAGAAGCATTTGCAGCATCTCCTGATAAACTAGATGAGCTATGCAACCATGGATTAGTTACACAAGCTGCCTCCCTCATTTCAACCAGTAGTTCTGGAGGTGGACAGGCATCTCTCAGTCCATCTACATATACGGTATATTGATGACTTTATTTTGGAAAAAGCACATAGCTTTTGGAGGTTGCATTACCTAACAAAAAGATTTTTCAGGGATTAATTCGATTGTTATCCGCATGTGCAAGTGGGTCTCCTTTAGGATCAAAAACATTGCTGCTTCTTGGGATTAGTGGCATTCTTAAAGATATATTATCAGGCTCTGGTCATGCTGCAAGCATGTATGTATCCCCTGCTTTGAGTAGGCCACCAGAACAGGTAATGCTTATTTATACTTCTTGTTCTCCTTCTCCATGCTTACAGATTTTCCCTGACTCCTTATAATTTTAATAATCGAAAAAATTTATAACCAATCTGTTTGATGTCTTCATGCAGATATTTGAGATTGTGAATTTGACAAATGAGCTTCTTCCTCCATTGCCTCAAGGAACCATATCTCTTCCTTCTAGCTCTACCTTATTTGTCAAAGGGTCTCTTATAAGAAAGTCACCTGGAAAGCAAGAAGAAACAAGTGGTGGTGCACCAGAAAAAGAGAAGTTATTGACTGATCAACCTGGCCTTTTGCTGCAATTTGGAATGGACCTTCTTCCTGTTCTCATTCAGGTTAGTTTTAATGGAAACTCTTAATTACAACTCATTTTAGCAACCTACTTTAAAGTTTAAAATGAACTTTTTTTTTTTTGGTCTTGTAGATATATGGGTCAAGTGTGAATACACCTGTGCGTCATAAATGTCTATCAGTTATTGGGAAACTGATGTACTTCAGCACATCAGATATGATCCAATCTCTACTTGGTGTTACAAATATATCAAGGTATATAAGTTTTCATTCCTTTCTCGTTGAATTCCATCATACCAAACAGACCCCTGATGTTATATGCTATCGTGACTAGTTTCCTAGCAGGAGTTTTGGCATGGAAAGATCCACAAGCTCTATTGCCATCACTTCAAATTGCAGAAATCCTAATGGAAAAGCTTCCGGAAACTTTCTCCAAACTTTTTGTGAGAGAAGGTGTAGTTCATGCTATAGACACACTCATTTTATCTGGTCCATCCACCAATCCTCTTTCCCAATCATCATCAAATAATAATACCGATTCTACCCCCGGATCATCACGTTCAAGACGCTATCGCCGCCGCCTTGGACCACCCAATGTGGACCCCGAAGATCCCAAAACCGAGGGCTCACCTCCAAGTTCCCTAGAGGCTCCCACACTCAATTCCAATCTCCGGGTGTCAGTAAGTACAAGTGCAAAAGCTTTCAAAGATAAATTCTTCCCTTCAATCCCTGGAGCTCCTGAAGCTGGGATTACAGATGATCTTCTACATTTAAAGAATCTTTGCTCAAAGTTGGTTGCTTTATCTGACGACCATAAGTCAAAGTCAAAAGGGAAGTCAAAAGCTTCCACATCACCCCGGTTTCTTGATTTTTCACCCACTAAGGAAGATAATTTGTTAAGAGTGGTAACCTTTATGCTCTCAGAGTTAACCAAAAGAGACAGTGTTTCTACATTTGAGTTCATAGGAAGTGGTGTTGTGGATGCTTTACTTAACTACTTAACTTGTGGAAGCTTCTCAAAAGAAAGGGTGTCAGTGTCAGAAGCGAATCTCCCAAAGTTACGTCAACTAGCTATCAAAAGATACAAATCTTTTATATCAATCGCGTTTTCAAGTGTCTACAATGAATCGAATTTAGTTCCTATGAGTGTTTTAGTTCAAAAGCTTCAAAATGCATTGACTTCGTTAGAAAGGTTTCCTGTAGTGTTGACTCACAATTCTCGATCCTCTACAAGTGCGCGTCTGTCATCTGGTTTATCCGCTTCATCTTGTCCGTTCAAACTTCGGCTTGTAAGATCACATGGTGAAAAATCACTTCGTGATTATTCCTCAAATGTTCTTCTCATTGACCCTTTAGCAAGTTTGGCTGCTGTTGAAGACTTTCTTTGGCCTAGGGTGCAACGTAGTGAATCTAGCCATAATAAGCCTTGTACTTCTGTTGGGAACTCGGAGTCTGGAAACACGGCGGCAGGTGGCGGCAGCGGTTCGTCGCCTTCTTCTTCTACTCCTGCTTCGGGTACACGGCGTCAGTCAACAAGGTCCAGGTCAGCGATTAGTATAGGGAATTCAGGTGAAAAGGATACCCCACATGAGAAAAATGCAAGTTCTTCAAAGGGAAAGGGGAAGGCTGTGTTGAAGGCAAGTCAAGATGAGGGGAGAGGAGGACCACATACAAGAAATGCTTCTAGAAGAAGGGCTGCTTCTGATAAAGACACTTTGATGAAGTCTGTGGATGATGAATCTTCTTCTGAGGTATGCTCTTCATGTGCTAAATAAAGTGCTCTTTAATTTTTTTATTGTTTTTGATTACTTTACTTATGTGTGTACTGTAGGATGAGGATGTAGATATATCACCTGTTGATATTGATGATGCATTGGTGATTGAAGATGATGAAATATCAGAAGATGACGATGATGATGATGTATGTTACCCTTATTTCTGTTCACTTGTTTATTATATCATTCATTTGTTTACTACAGACATACAACGAAGACTCATTGATAACTTTTTATAATCTTTCACAAATACAACTTTTTACATACGATTCTCCTTCTTCCCATTTTCACAGGTGCTAAGGGACGATTCACTTCCAGCTTGCATGCCAGATGTCCACGATGTCAAACTAACCGACAACACCACCCTCGCGGGTCCCACAACCAGCGACAGCCACACAAACCCCGCACGCGGTTCCACGAGCCGATCAACCCCAGCTCGCGGCTCAGACTCAACCGACTTCCGTGGTCCGACTTCATTCAGCTCAAGGGGATCAATGTCATTCGCAGCAGCCGCCATGGCCGGGCTCGCGTCCGCCAACGCTAGGGCGGTTAGGGGCGGCAGCGGTGGTGGTAGAGACCACAACACCCCCCGGTTAAGCTTCTCCTCAAATGGTAAACAACTCAACCGACATTTAACAATCTATCAAGCCATTCAACAACAGCTTGTGTTAGATGAAGGCGACAATGACCAATACAACACCGATGGAAGCAAACTATGGAACGATATCTACACAATCACCTACCAAAAAGCCGATATAAACTCACAAAAAACAACAAATTCAACAAAACCGGGGTCCACATGTCAAATGTCTCTCTTAGATAGCATCCTCCAAGGCGAACTCCCTTGCGA